GACTGGAGTTTGCTTAAAGACAGGCTTAGTGTTCAGGAGCAAGGAGGTAAAAATCTCAGTGTATTCTGGCTTGGCCAAACCACATTTGGAGTTATATGTTCAGCTCTGGGTGCCACATATTTACAAAAGATATTAATAAGCTGGAAAATGTAAGTTTCTTGAAGGCAGGGTCTGTTTTTGCCTTTAAATCCCCAGCATCTAGTACCTGACACATAGCATTTTGTAGCATAAATGCTTGATTATTGATTGCAGTGCCCATTGGGAGGAGGACAAGAAAAATGGTGAGGGGCTTTGAGTTCATTACATGCGAAGATTACTTGAAGCAACTGGGGGATGTTTATGTTGGAGAAGAGGAAATTTAAAACAAACATGATGTCTCTTCATTAAAGGGCAATCTTGTGAAAGAGGGACTGGATTCATTCTGCTTGTCCCAGGAAAACAGAATTAAGAACAACGGTAAAGAAAATTTTCCTGTTATTTCTAGAGGTAAAACTATCCAAAAGTAGAATGGACTGCAGATACAGGAGGTACATATTAGGTTTACCCCTCACTAAAATAATAGTATTCATGCAAAGGCCAAATGACCATTTAAAAGGATTTGTGTTCATATAAGAGTTAGACAATATGGCTTCATATTTCTTCCAATTTTGAGGTTCTTTGAGATAACATTTTTCTCTTTGCAGTGAATTCTATACAATGTGGGTATTCTGTGGTTCAGGTAAACATACTATTGTTAATGTATCAGAATTAGTTGAGATTGATCTTCACCATTTATTGTTTTTATTTTTCCTTTGGAGAAGAGAAGATAAAAAGGGGAGGGAAGAATAAATGCTGGACAAATTAAATAAAATTAAAAAGAAAAAGAAGAGGTAGTCTTGGTAAAGTAGAGGCATGACAATAGATAGTAGAAGATGTGAGTAAAAGTGTGAGGAGACAGAGATAGTACAGTATTCATTAAACAGGTATTTTATGTAGGTATAGGGTATGAATAATTTTGATGATAATAGTCAATATTTTGATACGGTTTTAATATTTTGCTAAGCACTTTATATATGTGTATGTATGTATGTATGTGTATTACATAATTTAATCCTCATGACAGTCTTACCGTGTAGATGGTAAATCTCTTTTTATAGATGAGGAAACTAATGATAAAAAGGTTTAATTGACTTCCTCATAGTCACACTGATATTAAATGTCAGAGATGGAAATAGAATGACATTCTTTTCCTCATTCCAGTTTTTTTTTTAATGGGCAGTGGGGATTAAGTGACTTGCCCAGGGTCACACAGTGTTATGTGTCTGAGGCTGGATTTGAACTCAGGTGCTCCTGAATCCAGGGCCCGTGTTCTATCCATTGTGCCACCTAGCTGCCCCGTATTCCAGATATTTTGCCCTTACCGTGCTTCTTCTCTGAATTAAGATAGTAGATGTGTAAATTAGACATTGGGTAGTAAAGAAGGGATGGTGGTATAGAGGCAGCTGGTGACGCAGTGTATGAAGTGTTGAGCTTGGAATCAGGAAGACCTGAGTTCAAATTCAGCCTCAGACACTTATTAAATGTGTGATCCTGGGCAAGTCACTTAACATCTGTTTGCTTCAGTTTTCTCAACTGCAAAATGGGATTAATAACAATATCTTGCAAGGTTGTTGTGAGGATTATATGCGATATTTTTTTAAAAGTGCTTAGCATAGTGCCTGACATGTAGTAAGTACAATATAAATGCTTACTACCCTTCCTTTCCCTGACGGTGTAGGGGTAAGGTGGAGAGAGAAAGGCTTTGCTATGGTTCTGTTACAAATGGGAGGAGATAGTTTGGGATAAGTATAGGAAGCGAAAGCACAAGGAGATTTAGTGGTGGCATAGGTATGTACGAAGTTTCATGTTTGTGTGGGTTGCGGAAAAGGGATGGGTAGCCAGGGATTGCATTTACAATATGAAGAAATCAGGACGAAGTGGTGTACAGAAATGTCTCTTTCACATCTGGAACTGAGATAACAGGATGAGGAATGCCAGTGCTAGGGTTCACCTCCAGCACCTAGACAGTGACATTGTTGTCTTCAACTTCCTGGTCACCTTTGTTAGCATAACAGTTTTCACATAGAACCTCAATTCAGATCATCCAAAACAACAGGGTTCTGTGGAACACAGTTTGGGAAATGCTAGCATATGCTATCAGTGTAGACAGCACACACTTGAGAATCTTCAGTGATAGAAGGCATCCTTCCTGAATTGGTGTTCTGCAATTGGAGGCGGTGCTTAATGAGTGAATTTTTATAAATTCTTTGTGTAACCTAATATGAAAGTAGTATTTAAATCTGGTTTTCCCTCCCCCAAGACAGACTGTAATGTTGTTTACCTCCAAACATTTAAAATTCACATTCCCTATCTCATGTTTAAATTATTTTCACTAGGGATAGTTTTTCTCTGCTCAAGTTGGGATTCCTGGCAAAACACAGAGGCTGTAGTTTGTTCTCTGTAATGTCTTGACTTTTCTTTATCTTGCAATCAGGTATAAAAGAAAGCAGGCTGAAGGCAAACTGTCTAATTAATCAAAAGCAATTGAACTGAAAGCACAAATAAAGTATCTATTGCTTAAAACTTTTATTTTGTTGTTCAGTCGTGTTTGAACCCTTGTGACCCTATTTGGGGTTTTCTTGGCAAAAATACTAGAGTGGTTTGCCATGTCCTTCTCCTGCTTGTTTTACAGATGAGGAAACTGAGGCAAACAGGGTTAAATGACTTGCCCAGGGTCACCCAGCTAGTACGTGACTATGGCCAGATTTGAACTCAGAGTCTTCCTGATTCCAGGCCCTGTACTCTATTGACTGCACCACCTAGCTGCCCAAAACTTCTGTTAGCACAGTGCTAATAGTGCTGGGTGTCTGAACTTGTGATTATACATCCATTTGTTGGGTATTTTATAATGGAAATTTCTTTTGTTTGTGGCTTGATTGGAGGGCTGTCTTAGCTCCTTTACAACTCTCTGATTCTCTGATTCTTTGTGGGGAACTCCCTTTGTGGAAATTCTCTCTACTTTCTGATTTACAGCTTATCCATAACTTGTAGTTTTAAAAAATCATCTGGTGGTCATGAGAGTTTTAAGCGATCTGCCTATAATCACACAGACAGTGTACGTCAGAAGCAGAACTTAAACCCATGTCTTTTTATCTCAAGGCCAGTCCTTTATCCATGTAGGCGGCTTCTATTATTTGTGTGTTTTTTTCTCTTCGTGTTTTAAATTAGAAACAATTTTTTCCAGTGAACAAAAATCTATAATTTCTTTGGGGTGGAGAATTGGACAAAGAAAGACTGAAACCTTTATCACAAATATACATAGTTGATCAGAACAAAGTTCACCACTGGCCATGTCCAAAAAATGTACATTTGAATGTGTGCCTTCAATCTGTTACCTCTCTACAGGAGGTGGGGTATCATGCACTATCATTGGTCTTCTGAAAACATGGTTGATCATTGCAATGAACAGCATTCTTAAGTCTTTCGAAGTTGTTTGTTTTTGTTCTACTGATTCTGCATCAGTTCATACTGTTCTTCCCAGGTTTCTTGAAACTGTCTTCTTCATTATTCCTTATAGCACAATAGTGTTCCATTATGAGTGTTTCAAATTAGTTAACATTAATTTTTTAAGCCATTCCGTAGTTGATGGACATTCCCTTAATTTCCAGTTCTTTGCCACCACAAAAAGCTGCTATAAATATTTTTGTATGTGTGGGTCTTTTACCTCTTTTTTGATCTGTTTGGTGGTATAGGTCTAGTTAGGCTATTGCTGGGTCAGAGGGTATGCACAGTTTAATAGTTTTTGGGGTATATTTTAGGTGCTTTCCAGAATGTTTGTTCTTCTGTCCTCATGTATCTGTTATGATTAATATTCAGTATAAACCAAATATTATATTCCTCTGTGGAGCCTAGAGTAGCCCTGAAAAACTTAAGTATTTGCTTAAGCATAAATGTCTTACTGTTTGATGCAAAGAATTTAGACTTTATGTAAGTGTACATTTGAAATATTTTTGTGACAGTTGACTTAAGAATTTTTTAATTTCTATTTATCTTTCGAATATTATAATTGGTTTTTCTGTTACTTCTAAAGTAACTTGTTTCCTTTGTTCACCATTTACTGTAAACTTTTTTGTTTAGAACTACTTTTATTTATACATATCAAGCCTCTCAAAATAAAATAATTTCAGAATGCAAAAAATTTTCCTTAGACATTTTCATGGTTTAAGATACATATGCCTTATAGAAAATTTGTATAAATCTGATTTAGATTATGGATCCGTTGAAGCCTGAGAAATGTTTTTATTTAAAGAGTTAATATAGCTGAGGTCATGTTTATACATTTAATTACATAATTTTATTGCAATTAGTATTTTTTCTTTAAACTTTAAAAGGGTTTTATTTAGCTTTTTTTCTTTTTCTTTTTAAAAAAATTATTAGTATTACTTTCCAATGACAATCTCTGGGTAGGAATGTGAGTTGATAGGGAATGATGCATATGGGAAAAAAGAGCACTAATAAGTCATTTTATAGGGTGCACAGAAACAAGGGAGGGGAAGTGCGTAAAGAGAAACAGTAATTTGTTACCACCTTTTAAAGCTTGCATATACATACATATATTTATTTTAAATCCTGATTATAATATCTGCTATTTATGTGGTGCTTTAAGGTTTGCAGTATTTGATAGGAATTCACATCCTTTTTCTTGTCCTTTGTGACTTAAAGTATCTGTGATTATTGATTGTTGAATTTACAATAAAAAAAAAGAAAGATTGAATAACAAGAAACATTGCTGTTACTTCCTAGTGGCAACTACTGAGATTCCTTTCTGTAACAGAAATGTATATTTAAAAACACATTGCTCATGTGGTTTGTGCTTTTGCATTGTTTGAACTTTATTTTTAATTCTTGATGATGTTTAGTATTGTGTAACTTTATACTTTCCCTTGAGTTGAAGGACTCTCTTTCTCTTTAATTCTTCCTAGCTTTTAATCTGGACAATGAACAACCAGATTATGATATGGATTCTGAGGATGAGACATTATTAAATAGACTCAACAGGAAGATGGAAATTAAGCCTCTGCAGTTTGAAATTATGATTGACAGGCTTGAAAAAGCCAGTTCTAATCAGGTATAGTACTGAATAAAAATACAATTTTATCTTATTTTGTTGGTAATCTAATGAACAATTAACTCTTTTTTTGTTTTGTTGGCTGTTTAAAAAAATTCATTTGCTTTTCTTTGGATTTCTTGTGTTTGATACTCTGCAGTTTCCATTTATAATATCCTTTGAGTTCAACATATGCTGTTAGTTCAGACTTCATCCTGCCCTTTGAAAATATTTGAGAGAGACATTTGTAGATATATACTATTTTGATTTGGAGAGTAGCAGGAGGTAAGAAGTTAGATTGCTTAGCCCTTGTCACAGCTAGTCCACACAGTCTCATGTAAAGAAGCTAATAGTTTCTGCCATTCTTATCCCACTGACTGGCAGTGTTGACAATGTTTGCTTCTTGAGGAATCCTAGATGAGTCACCATAACAAAATAAATGCTCTTGTGAGTTATTGGCTTCTCAGTGGTGAGTTGATAGTGGGGAAGAAAGCTTTCAGAAGTACTGATGCAATACAGATGGCTCTTTTTAAGTCCCTGTCATAGTTTTGGAATATTTGAATTTAGAATATTCTTTCTAATATTTGCTAAACACACTTACCTTACTTTTAAAGAAAAGCTTGTATTTGTCAATCTACATATTTCTTGAAAGAATGGATGAAATGATAATTATTCCCTTTGTTCTTAACTTTGCTGAGGAACTCACTAAGCTATTTTTTATTAATTTATAATAACAGCATTTTTATAATGCTTTAAATTTTGCAAAATGCTTTAAATATATTCTCTTATTTGATTCTTACATCAACTTGATGAGGTAAGTGCTGTTATTGTCCCCATTTAAAACATGAAGAAACTGAGGCTAACAAACTAAATAATTCGCTAGGATCACACAGTTTATAATTTTGTGAGCGAGGAATTGAATTCAGGTCTTCCTCACTCCAAGTCCAACACTCTATACACTGTACTACTTGGCTGACTACTATTTTAAATGTAATCTTATTTCTCTTGATACCTTTCATTTCTATTTCACATTTATTTCTTTATATTTCTCTCCACCAGTGAGCTTTCTACTGAATAAATCTTTAAAAAGATAATGGGGGAAAAAGCACTTTAGCAAAGCCAACCAGCACATCAGCCATGTCTGACAGTATCTGCAGTATTCCATACCCATAGTCTTTCACCTCTGCAAAGAAGAAAAGGGCAGTGCATGTTATCAGCTCTTACTCTGGGCCAAAAAGAAAGTAGGTGGTCTAAGTCAGATCTACTATAGGTAGATTAGCTGACATTTGTGCTTAGATGTCAGAGGAACTGTATGTCTAGTTGTCCCTCCCTGGAGGTCTAGCAACTAGGTGTCAGGTTGGAAGGATGCAGATATTCCAAATGCAAGAATCTGAATAGAGCTGACCATGAAGTGAAACCTAGAAAAGACAGCAAGATATCAAAGAGAAAATCAGAACTAAAAACAGATTGGTCAGGTTAATGGAGAAGTTAAATGAGAGGTGTGAAGATCAGATACTACTGAGATAAGGTATCCTGTGGCAAAGTGGAGTTATACTCTTGACTCATTTGTTTTCTCTCTCCCTTCCCATTGTCTTAAAGGAGACATAGCTAGATTTCTGAAGGAAGAGGGTAGGGCACGAGCATTTACTAAGCCGCTGACGTGCCAGGCACTATTCTAAATGCTTGACAAATATTATCTCATTTGATCCTGATGAACCTGAAACTGAAGAATCTGCTAATTAGAGCTATTGTTATAATTTTAGTTCCAACTGCCTTTATATTTGCAAAGAAGCTTATGCTATACCATTAAACTTTTAATTAAAGGAAAACATTTTAATCATCTGAGTCAGTCAATAAATGTTTAGTAAGTGTGTACTATGTCCCAGGCCCTGTGCTAAGCACTGGGAATACAAAGAAAAACAAAAGACAATGACTGCTCCCAAAGTGCCCACAGTCTAACATGGGAGACAACATAGAAATAACTATGTACTACAAACAAGCTATATATAATATAAATTGGAAATAACCATAGAGGAAAGGCACTGGAATCCAGTGGTATTGGGCAAGGCTTCCTGTAAAAGAAATTTTAACTGAGACTTGACGGAAGCTAGGAGACAGAAATGAGGAGTCCTAAGCATGGGAGATAGCCAGTGAAAATGCCTGAAATTGGGAGACAGTTTCTTAGCAAGGAACAATAAAGAGGCCAGTGTCAGTGGATCATAAATTAGGTGATGGTGGGGAGAGGTTCTGAAGGTAGCAGGTAGCCACCGGAACTTTATTGAAATAAAGGATGACATAGTTGCTGTGGTGCTTTAGAAAAATCGCTTTGACAACTGAGTGGAGGATGGATTGGAGTGGCAAAATGGTTGAGGCTGGAAGATCAACCAGCAGGATATTTTCAGTATTCCAGACATGAAGTGGTAAGGGTCTTCACCAGGGTGGTGACAGTGTCAGAAAAGAGAAGGGGGAGATACCGAAGAGATGTTATGAATGTGAAATTGACAGGCTATAAGGTCTGATTGCATATGGAGGATGAATGAGAATGAGAAGTCAGGGATGACACCTAGGTTGTAAGCATCAGGGACTACAAGGATGAATATACCCTCATCAGTAATAGGGGAGTTTGGAAAGGGGGTGGGAGGTAGGGTTTTTGGGGGAAAGTTCAGTTTTGGACATGTTAAGTTTGAGATGTCTATAGGGCATCCAGTTGAAGATGTCTAATACATAAGGCAGTTAGGAATACGAGACTGAAGGTCAGCAGAGAGGTTAGGGCTCTTATCATTTGTCTGTAGACTATAGATATTAAAGAATTGTCACTTTAAGGTATTATATCATATGTTACCTTCGCTGATGCTAATAATAATTCACAATTACATAGTACTTTATTTTTTTCTTCTTACAATAGCCTTTTAATGTGTATAGTGAAATATCTTCCAGTTTTTAGAAAGATTAAGTCACTTGCCCAAAATCAAATAAATAGGACTTGAATTCAGGACTCCTGAGTCTAAATTCAGTGTTCTCACTACATTGTCCTTTCAGGCACTTTCAGATGTTTTATCATCAGCCTGTCAAATTAGTTCCTCAGACTAGCAGATTTTAATTAACTCATTCATAGTTTATAGGGTCCTGTCACTTTTTATTCAGTATTGATTTTCAAAATTCCTTACTGCCTGAACACTTTTCTCTGAAGTATAAATTTGTCTACTCATCTCTTTAGTCAAATGCAGCTTTTGTCAAGCCCCATCTTTTTCCCCCAACATTTTTTTGGGGGAAGAAATTACCTTCTTTTTTAGATACATAATTTTATTTGGAGGAAGTTTGTGTCATTCTGATTATGGATTTCGGATCTCAGGTTAAAAGTTTTGTGGAGATTTTCTAGGCTAAACTCCACATTTTACATAAGATGGAAATCAAGGTCTAATGGAGTTAAATTACTTGCCCCATGATCAAATTTCACTTCTTTCCCCAAAAACTTAGTTCTCTATTGTTTGCTAATTAAGCCCAAACTCCATGGTATGCTCTTCAAAGCTCGCCACAAAGCTGTCCTGTTTGTCTCCTATGACTTGTCACCACACTCTAATACTTGTTCTTCTCTGAGAAATAACCTATTCTTTTTTTCCCCTATACTGACTTCCTACTCATTCATCATCAACTCCAGCTCAGATATCTATCAAATAAGTATCAGTGGAATAGCTGAACTTTCATATCCCTGCAGCTCAAAATTTGTGGTCCTGGTAAATCTTCCTACTCAAGCACAAGTAATCTCTCTTGCCTCAGCACTTGGCATATCTTTTATGAAAATTCTGACTCTCTGGACTTTTTGCTTAGGTATACATTCTGTCTTCCTTTTTTTCATCTTTTTATGTGCTGTTTTCCCTCATTTTGATGTAAGCTCCTTGAGGGCAGAGACTTTTTCTTTTTATTTCTGTTTGTGTCCCCTGGTGCCTAGCCCAGTGCCTGGCACATAGTAAATACTTAAATGCTTGTTAACTTGGAGTTTAATCCTTTGTCTATCGTTTTATATTATTTGTATACATGTTTTATCTTCCCTAGTAGATTTTAAACTCCTTGAGGATAGGAAGGATCTTTTTTTAAATCTTTGTATTCTTGAGTGCCTAGCATAGTAGTTTGTGGGTAGAAGATTTTCAATAAATTAAATTAGTATTATAATTAGTACTCATACTTTTTCTGAAATTTTATTTAACAGTTCAAAAACTATTTAAATATTTGCTATGTGCAAGTCACCATAGCAGGTATTGAAGGAAGGCACTGTGAGTAGCAGCAAAAGTTAAATTGCTTCCCAGGTTTCCTTAAGAAGCCTCTTTTACTCTTGTCTTAAAGTATTGTGTTTGTTTGTTTTTACTACCCCATTCACTTTATATCTATCATTTCCAAGCTTAATTTACCCATGTGTCCATAGAATGGTACGAGTTGTTTAGCTTTCTGTGTTTGGATGCCGGAAGTGGTGCCATTTTGAGATCCATTTTGTCATATGGTCCCATCTCTCTGACTGATTAACCTAGTGCATTGGTTAAAAAAAAAATAGGCTCCGTAAACTTACGGTATTGTTATCATTATCCGATTCCATGGTGACTCTAGGATTGTGCAAGCCTCAGAATTAAATTTTATTACATGTGATAGTTGCTGATTTCATTCCCATTGCCTTTTCTTTATTTCTGACCTTCCCCCACCCACCAATTTAATTATGAATAATAAGCTAGTGATTATTGTTTAAGGCCTTATATATATTTTTATATAACTATTTTGGATTGTAGTAACTAAATTGGATTGCATAATGCTAGAAAATGAATATAATGTTATTGTTCATCTATTTGCTGAAATTTTGCTTGCTGTTTTTCCCCCACAGATTAGGTATCAGAAATCTTCAGTTCAAGGGATCAGATCCAGGATTTTAAGATGATTTTTTCCCTCCTCACTCCTTCTGGAGCTTAGACAGTCATTATTATCCCTTTAAGAAGGGGAGTTTAGATAGGTTTAAGGATTAGAATAGTTGGAAGATC